AATAATTTTGTTCGAAGAACATTTTATGCAGTTGTACTTCGCAGCACTTCACTTGCAATTTGCAATTTCTAGTATAATTTAATTAAAATGCTGATGTTCAGTTGAAGCAACTGACTTTTCCGGAGTGTCAATCAAATCAAACAACTGACCAGTCAGAATAGGGCGAGGAATATGTGCGTAGTTTACAAACACACGGGCTGTCTCACGAACTCATGTGTTTGCGATATGTTTTTGCACTATCGTTTGTGGAAACATAGCAATAATATCCAAGCATGGTACATGATCCAAGGGGTGGGCTTAGCGGTCCATTATTGAAACCATGGAGGGGTAAGAAGAATCCTCCGTGATTGAACCTCTCCATGACAGAAAATTGCATTTATGGGTGGAGCCTAATTTTTTAATTACGATACGTACTTCAAGAAACCCATCTGTGACGCCTGGAAGGCGTATGGAGAACAACGTTTTAGCGATTTTTTGCTTATTCAACAAGTTAGGAGACAATCGTTTTGTTCTGTCACTTCACCATTTAGTGATTCTTCTTGTGGTGTTCTGTTTTATGGAAGATTCACAAGGTATGGATGCGATCTTTTAATTGGACAGTGGTAAAATTTTACAAAATATATAATTGGTGTAGGATACAATTGTAAAACATATATACAGTTTATTCGGTATTATTTCTCCCATATGAAGTAGAACAGGTTATCAACATTGTGGAAGTACACAGAACTATGCTCTTGTCACGCGTGTTAGACTGCATAGACGGGAAGGGGAGGACATGCATCCAACTAGACCTAGCCACACACTATATAAATCTCAATGAGATTTTTTGGAGTCGTGCGCCACCTGCGCATCTATAGCAGTTAAACGTTTTACCAGTTATAAAGATACATTAATATATTTGTCCCTTTATCTTTTCTCTCTTGCAAACAAAAAGTCCTTTATTCGAACAGCTTAGGTCGGTCCTTTCAGACATTTGGACCTTGGATAATTCAAATCGCTGTTCTTCTTGTGTTTCAACTGGGAGCTGAAAAAAGGGAAAATGTATTTAGAAAGTCTCACTTCTTTGTTCTTTCTAAGGAGCTAATGAAATGACAAATAATGCCGATTATCGAGGCACAGTAAATATCACAATTACGGGAATGACGTGTCAGAAATGGACGTCGCAGACACCTCATCTGCATGGATACACTCCAACAAATTACCCTGACTCGGGTTTAGGTGATCACATGAGTGGAGTTGACTTTTTGATTATTTTGATTAATAAATTGCGGACGAAAAGTGAGGGTACCAACCACTACCCCCTAAAAATATATGGGACGTGTCCCCTGTCCCCCTGGATCATGTTTTTATTAGGGGCGTCTTCCATTTGAGATTTTTTGGCTAGCAACGGGAGAACTGTACATACTATGCAAAAATACTATTTACTATGTAAAAATCAAAGGGGCAATGTGTAGTACCATGGAATGTCTGTTGAAACAAGGACTTATAACTGTTATAACAGTCCTTGGTTGAAGGGAAAATGTGTGGAGGAATGGCTGTTGCAGGCAGGGGCATGTGTGGTGGAATGGCTGTTATAGGGGCAATGTGGTAGAATGGCGATTGCATGGGCAACGTTGGTAGAATGGAGTTGCAGGAACAACATGTGGTGGAATGACTGTTGTTGCAGGGGCACGTGTAGTGGAATGGCCGTGGCAGGGGAAATGTGTGGTGGAATGGCTGTTGCATGTGCAATGTGAGGTGGAATGGCTATTGCAGGAATTGTGATAGAATGGCTGATATGGGGACAATCGATGTATGTTGGGGAGCTGTTGCAGGACAAGTGTTAGAACTGATGTCAACACAGATCATCCAATCAGTGAATAGTCAACAACAGGATCCAAATTCCATTGTATATGAAATCCTATCTCGTCTACAGACTTCGAAACACCACCAACAACAGGAGAGATTCCAACTAATTTCACTAGGTATGGCAATGTAAGCACAGCATTGCCAGTGACTCCCATTGAATTTGTAATGAAAACTGATACTCAAAGACTTTCCAATCAACAAACCTTGATACCGAACATGGAAACTGCCAAATCATTGCAGCAGAAATTGGTAAGAGTTTGCCCGCATACCGTTTTATTATGGTGATGTGGTTGATGATGATAATGTTTATTATTATTATTATTATTATTATTATTATTATTATTATTATTATTATTATTATT